ATTCATTTATGTGTAATGTGCAGTAAAACCCCACTGGAATACTCTCCAGTGTGCACCAGACAAGTACAGGAAGAAAATAAGGGAAAAAATACAGTATAAAATAAACAAAATTATTGTCACTGTGAAATGGGTCAAACTAATTGCTGGTCTGTAAAAATCTGCTTTATAATTAAATATAAATCTATATATATGTATATATATATCAATATTAACAGATGAATCACCAAATCATCCCAAACAGAACTTATCATTTGTTTATAAATCCTGCCGTTAAAGTCCATGTGTTTTATAATAATCACTTCTACAGTTGTATATTCTTCTTCTCTCCAAACTCTCAGAACGTTCAGCCCAGAACAGACTTTATGGATTTATTTACAGTCAGTACAAAAGTACGACAGAAAATCAATGTTTAGAATGAAATCCACGTCTTTTCTTTTCCTCCAAATGAAACGTATGGAAATGGTTCAGTTTGTTGTTGAATCCTCCAGTTCTCTCTGCTTCACACACATCACTGGTATGGAGATAATCTTTATTATACACACACACACACACACACATATATATATATATATATATATATATATTGCTTTGCACTGGCTTCCAGTCAAATTTAGAATTGATTTTAAGGTTTTGTTGTTTGTTTTTAAAGCGTTAAACGGACTGGCCCCTCAGTACGTCACAGACCTCATTGAAGTATACGCCCCAACGCGCGCTCTGAGGTCTGAGGGCCAGCTCCAGCTCGTGGTTCCTAAGACGAAACGTAAAACTCGAGGGGACAGAGCGTTCTCCGTCATCGGCCCTAAGCTGTGGAACGCTCTGCCCCTCCACGTCCGAACAGCCACAACATTGGAGTGTTTTAAATCTCGTCTTAAAACCCACTTTTATTCTCTGGCTTTTAACACCGCGTGAGTTGTGTGGTCCCTGTGTCTTTTTTAATTTTTGTTTTGTGTTTTATGATTTTTATTGATTTTATAAATTGACTATTTATTTATTTATTTTTTATTCTATTTTTTGTGTACTTTTTTGTGCAGCACTTTGGAACTGTTCTGTTGTTTAAATGTGCTATAGAAATAAAGTGGATTGGATTGGATTGGATATATATATATATAAAAAAAAAAAAATTGTCCACTCACCTTTGGCCCTCCGCGGGCGGTTATCCCTCTCTAAGCTCGGGTCCTCTACCAGAGGCCAGGGAGCTTGAGGGTTCTGCGCAGTATCTTTGCTGTTCCTAGCACTGCACATTTCTGGACCGAGATGTCCGAGGTTGTTCCGGGGATCCGCTGTAACCACTCATCTAGCTTCGGGGTCACTGCCCCGAGTGCACCGATCACCACGGGCACTACTGTCACCTTTACCCTCCAGGCCCTCTCCAGCTCCTCTCTGAGACCTTGGTATTTCTCAAGCTTTTCATGTTCTTTTTTCCGGATGTTACCATCGCTTGGAATTGCCACGTCCACCACCACGGCTGTCCTCTGCCCTTTGTCTACCACCACGATGTCAGGTTGGTTTGCCATTACCATTCGGTCGGTCTGTATCTGGAAGTCCCACAGGATCTTCGCACGCTCATTTTCCACCACCTTTGGAGGAGTTTCCCACTTAGACCTTGGGGTTTCCAGCCCATACTCTCCACAGATGTTTCTGTACACTATGCCAGCCACTTGGTTATGGCGTTCCATGTAGGCCTTCCCTGCAGCATCTTGCACCCTGCAGTTATGTGTTGGATCGTCTCAGGTGCCTCTTTGCACAACCGACACCTTGGGTCTTGTCTGGTGTGGTATATCTGGGCCTCTATCGCTCTGGTGCTCAGGGCCTGCTCCTGTGCAGCCATGATGAGTGCCTCTGTGCTGTCCTGTAGGCCAGCCCTTTCTAGCCATTGGTAGGACTTCTTGAGATCAGCCACTTCTGTTATGCTCCGGTGGTACATGCCGTGTAGGGGCTTGTTCTCCCATGATGGGCTCTCCTCCAGCACCTCCTCATCTCGCCACTGCCTGAGACATTCACTGAGTACGTCATCCGTTTTGGCCTTCTCCATGATGTAGTTATGGAGTTTGGATGTTTCGTCCTGGACAGTGGCTCTCACACTCACTAGTCCTCGGCCTCCTTCTTTACGGCTTACGTACAGTCTCAGGGTGCTGGATTTGGGATGGAACCCGCCATGCATGGTAAGGAGCTTTCGAGTTTTAACATCCGTGGTCTGAATCTCTTCCTTTGGCCACCTGATTATTCCTGCAGGGTATCTGATCACTGGCAGGGCGTAGCTGTTAATTGCCCGGGCCTTGTTCTTGCCATTGAGCCGGCTTCTTAGGACCTGCCTTACTCGCTGGAGGTATTTGGCAGTTGCCGCTTTCCTCGTCACCTGTTCGAGGTTGCCATTTGCCTGTGGTATACCGAGATACTTGTAACTGTCCTCAACGTCTGCTATTGTTCCCTCTGGGAGTGAGATCCCTTCTGTGTGGACTACCTTGCCTCTCCGAGTCACCATCCTGCTACATTTCTCGAGCCCGAATGACATCCCGATGTCATGGCTGTAGATCCTGGTTGTTTGGATCAGAGAGTCGATGTCTCTCTCGCTCTTGGCGTACAGCTTGATGTCATCCATGTAGAGGAGGTGACTGATCTTTGCTCCGTTCCTGAGGCGGTATCCATAGCCAGTCTGGTCAATTACTTGGCTTAGAGGGTTGAGGCCTATGCAGAACAGTAGTGGGGACAGAGCATCTCCTTGGTAGATACCACATTTGATGGTCACTTGTGCGAGCGGCTTGCCATTTGCCTCAAGGGTAGTCTTCCACATTCCCATCGAGTTTGCAACGAAGTCCCTTAGAGCCCTGTTGATATTGTACAACTTCAAGCATTCCATGATCCATGTGTGTGGCATTGAGTCGTAGGCTTTCTGGTAATCAATCCAGGCTGTGCACAGGTTGGTGTGTCGTGACCGGCAGTCTTGGGCGACTGTTCTGTCAACCAGGAGCTGGTGTTTAACGTACTGAGGCCTTTCTCCGCCGTGGAGACTAACGTGCTGTAACTTTTGCCTTCTGTGGCTTTTTCAAAATGGCCGCGGGAAAATGTGAAAAAACCCATGTGTGCGTGTGTTAGCTGCTCTAGCCCCATTCATTTAACAAGTGCATTCAAAAGTCCACAGCGGCTGAACTAGACTGGTCCCAAAACAACAACAAAAAACAGCTGTTTCTGTTTCTGCGACTTCTGTTGTGATTTAGGGCTATACAAAACTAAATTGAGTTGTTAAACGTGCTCTCTCAATAAAGAAGTGCTCAAGGGAAAAGTTTAGCTCCATCTCACTTTGGCCCCGTTCACATTGACAATTAAACCACTCTTGCTCTGAAACTGTTTGGCTGAAAAATCTGTAGTTTGAAGATTTTTATGATCCTGGAATTTTTGTTTTTTTTATTTTGCTAATGTTTTTGTCCAGATAGTCACTGGAAACTCAACATTCTTCAACATTTATGGACATTTATCAACATTTATGGACATTTATCATCTCCCTATGGACCTCTGTGTTCTATATCTATTCTTTCATGTGTTTAACCAAATGATCAAACAGTACAGTTCAAATGTCAGAATTGTTTTTTAATTCTCTGATCTGTGTTGGTGATTTCAACGGTTTTGTCCATTGTACTTTGAATTGAAATGAATTGAATCCAGATATAATCTCTAACACGTGAACCAATCAGGAGCCTTCTCTTCTAACCGTGGGTCCTTATTGGCTCTTTGGTTGCTGGGCCGTTGCTACCGATATCATTTGACTCCAGATTCCCGGCCGTGGAGCCTTTTGGAGCCAGCTCTAACCGGCTTTTTCTGCATTAAGCAAACAATACGGGTGACGTCAGGCCTTAGTCCACTCCTGCTACAGTCTATGCTCTGGATGGATGATCGCAAATTGAATTCGACTGGGATTTGATAGCTAATGGCGCTCTGTTTTTCAGCTTTTTACATGAAGTATTCTGAGGATAGAATGGGCCAGCGCAGAAACCAGGGCTTGATTGGTTCATGAAAAATGACCATACATCGGCCGATCTGCGTCAAGAGAAAAGCCAAGACTGCTTTGCATTTTATAACTGGCCTCAGTAATGATCCAAAATGAGAAAATGTCTGCCTCAAAACACCTTAAGACGCACATTTCTAAGCTCCGGCAGCTCGTCCGTCATCGCTAATGATAAATGGTGTACTGTATGTGCCGTAACAACCTCCTCGGGACCTCTTTTCTGTTTTACATGATTATCGTGGAGGCCGTCAGCTCAGGGCACCGTTTAGTCCAGCCCTGGAATAAGATGGAAACACAAAGTCAACACTCGTGACTCTTTCGTTGATGCTCCTCCGTATAAAAGTAGGGCACAGGAGCGCTGGGAGTGAGACATTCCAAATAATTCACTGCTCTCACTTTGGCTTTGGCTCCAGAATCAGAAACTGTTCCGGGTGTCCTGGACTGACTCTACAACCTTAGAGATACTCAGATTTGCCGGTGGGAGGCTTTACCGCAGTCTGCTAGCTTAAAACATTACTCAATATTTGCTGTGATTGTAGTTTCTCTAACATAGTTTTTCTCTCAGTCATCAAACCGCTATCTTTTAGAGAATGCTAACTGTCTGTCTCTGTATCTCTCATTATCATAACAAAGCATTAGACTTGTATAGACCAGGGGCAGGCTGACAGAAGTTATGCAACTAATCTGTGTAATTGGCCGACCACCACCAATCATTCACACACACCAGACTCATCCGAGGCCATGTGGGGGAAGTGTCTTGCCTAAGGACACAGCTATCGTCTGGAACTTTACACTGACAGCCGCCGCCATCTGATAATACTTATAGACATGGGTCATGGGCCCCCCATGGACCAATGGCTGTATGTGTTTGTTCATCATTGCATTTCCTGAACGGTTTGATTCTCTGATCTGTGTTGGCTAATCGAAAACATTAGCCTCCCAAAAGCATCCCCTCACAGGATAGAACCACAGACCTCATGATAATTCAGGAATTGCTGAAATGTCTTCCCCAAGGGCAAAGCTCACCTCTCTGACCTCCTCCATCATCACTGCCCCTGCCACAGACTCAGAGCCACAGACTCAGAGCCACAGACTCAGACCCACAGACTCAGAGCCACAGACTCAGAGCCACAGACTCAGACCCACAGACTCAGACCCACAGACTCAGACCCACAGACTCAGACCCACAGACTCAGACCCACAGACTCAGACCCACAGACTCAGACCCACAGACTCAGACCCACAGACTCAGACCCACAGACTCAGAGCCGCAGACTCAGACCCACAGACTCAGACCCACAGACTCAGACCCACAGACTCAGACCCACAGACTCAGACCCACAGACTCAGAGCCACAGACTCAGAGCCACAGACTCAGACCCACAGACTCAGACCCACAGACTCAGACCCACAGACTCAGACCCACAGACTCAGAGCCACAGACTCAGACCCACAGACTCAGAGCCACAGACTCAGAGCCACAGACTCAGAGCCACAGACTCAGAGCCACAGACTCAGACCCACAGACTCAGACCCACAGACTCAGACCCACAGACTCAGACCCACAGACTCAGACCCACAGACTCAGACCCACAGACTCAGACCCACAGACTCAGACCCACAGACTCAGAGCCACAGACTCAGAGCCACAGACTCAGACCCACAGACTCAGACCCACAGACTCAGACCCACAGACTCAGAGCCACAGACTCAGAGCCACAGACTCAGAGCCACAGACTCAGAGCCACAGACTCAGACCCACAGACTCAGACCCACAGACTCAGACCCACAGACTCAGACCCACAGACTCAGAGCCACAGACTCAGACCCACAGACTCAGAGCCACAGACTCAGAGCCACAGACTCAGAGCCACAGACTCAGAGCCACAGACTCAGAGCCACAGACTCAGAGCCACAGACTCAGACCCACAGACTCAGACCCACAGACTCAGACCCACAGACTCAGACCCACAGACTCAGATCCACTGACTCAGAGCCACAGACTCAGACCCACAGACTCAGACCCACAGACTCAGAGCCACAGACTCAGACCCACAGACTCAGACCCACAGACTCAGACCCACAGACTCAGAGCCACAGACTCAGACCCACAGACTCAGACCCACAGACTCAGAGCCACAGACTCAGAGCCACAGACTCAGAGCCACAGACTCAGAGACACAGACTCAGACCCACAGACTCAGACCCACAGACTCAGACCCACAGACTCAGACCCACAGACTCAGATCCACTGACTCAGAGCCACAGACTCAGACCCACAGACTCAGACCCACAGACTCAGACCCACAGACTCAGACCCACAGACTCAGACCCACAGACTCAGACCCACAGACTCAGACCCACAGACTCAGAGCCACAGACTCAGAGCCACAGACTCAGACCCACAGACTCAGACCCACAGACTCAGACCCACAGACTCAGACCCACAGACTCAGAGCCACAGACTCAGAGCCACAGACTCAGAGCCACAGACTCAGACCCACAGACTCAGACCCACAGACTCAGACCCACAGACTCAGAGCCACAGACTCAGAGCCACAGACTCAGAGCCACAGACTCAGAGCCACAGACTCAGAGCCACAGACTCAGACCCACAGACTCAGAGCCACAGACTCAGAGCCACAGACTCAGAGCCACAGACTCAGAGCCACAGACTCAGAGCCACAGACTCAGACCCACAGACTCAGACCCACAGACTCAGACCCACAGACTCAGACCCACAGACTCAGATCCACAGACTCAGAGCCACAGACTCAGACCCACAGACTCAGAGCCACAGACTCAGAGCCACAGACTCAGACCCACAGACTCAGACCCACAGACTCAGAGCCACAGACTCAGAGCCACAGACTCAGAGCCACAGACTCAGACCCACAGACTCAGAGCCACAGACTCAGCCCACAGACTCAGACCCACAGACTCAGAGCCACAGACTCAGAGCCACAGACTCAGAGCCACAGACTCAGACCCACAGACTCAGAGCCACAGACTCAGACCCACAGACTCAGACCCACAGACTCAGACCCACAGACTCAGACCCACAGACTCAGACCCACAGACTCAGAGCCACAGACTCAGAGCCACAGACTCAGACCCACAGACTCAGACCCACAGACTCAGAGCCACAGACTCAGACCCACAGACTCAGAGCCACAGACTCAGAGCCACAGACTCAGACCCACAGACTCAGACCCACAGACTCAGACCCACAGACTCAGATCCACAGACTCAGAGCCACAGACTCAGACCCACAGACTCAGACCCACAGACTCAGACCCACAGACTCAGAGCCACAGACTCAGACCCACAGACTCAGACCCACAGACTCAGAGCCACAGACTCAGACCCACAGACTCAGAGCCACAGACTCAGAGCCACAGACTCAGAGCCACAGACTCAGAGCCACAGACTCAGACCCACAGACTCAGAGCCACAGACTCAGACCCACAGACTCAGAGCCACAGACTCAGAGCCACAGACTCAGACCCACAGACTCAGAGCCACAGACTCAGACCCACAGACTCAGACCCACAGACTCAGAGCCACAGACTCAGAGCCACAGACTCAGAGCCACAGACTCAGAGCCACAGACTCAGACCCACAGACTCAGACCCACAGACTCAGAGCCACAGACTCAGAGCCACAGACTCAGACCCACAGACTCAGACCCACAGACTCAGACCCACAGACTCAGACCCACAGACTCAGACCCACAGACTCAGATCCACAGACTCAGAGCCACAGACTCAGACCCACAGACTCAGACCCACAGACTCAGACCCACAGACTCAGAGCCACAGACTCAGACCCACAGACTCAGAGCCACAGACTCAGAGCCACAGACTCAGACCCACAGACTCAGAGCCACAGACTCAGACCCACAGACTCAGAGCCACAGACTCAGAGCCACAGACTCAGAGCCACAGGCTCAGAGCCACAGACTCAGAGCCACAGACTCAGAGCCACAGACTCAGACCCACAGACTCAGACCCACAGACTCAGAGCCACAGACTCAGAGCCACAGACTCAGATCCACAGACTCAGAGCCACAGACTCAGAGCCACAGACTCAGACCCACAGACTCAGACCCACAGACTCAGAGCCACAGACTCAGATCCACAGACTCAGACCCACAGACTCAGAGCCACAGACTCAGATCCACAGACTCAGAGCCACAGACTCAGAGCCACAGACTCAGAGCCACAGACTCAGAGCCACAGACTCAGAGCCACAGACTCAGACCTCCTCACTCCCTCAGGACCAAACACGAACCCTGGGGGGCCGAGCCTTTGCCACAGCCGTCCCCACTCTATGGAACTCACTCCAAAATGCACTGTATAAGTACAAAGTTTCATTATTATTATTATTATTAGACTGTGACTTTACTTCCCTGACCACAGACCTGCTCAGTACCTGCTCTGTGGTTCACCCCTGCTCAGTACCTGCTCTGTGGTTCACCCCTGCTCAGTACCTGCTCTGTGGTTCACCCCTGCTCAGTACCTGCTCTGTGGTTCACCCCTGCTCAGTACCTGCTCTGTGGTTCACCCCTGCTCAGTACCTGCTCTGTGGTTCACCCCTGCTCAGTACCTGCTCTGTGGTTCACCCCTGCTCAGTACCTGCTCTGTGGTTCACCCCTGCTCAGTACCTGCTCTGTGGTTCACCCCTGCTCAGTACCTGCTCTGTGGTTCACCCCTGCTCAGTACCTGCTCTGTGGTTCACACCTGCTCAGTACCTGCTCTGTGGTTCACCCCTGCTCAGTACCTGCTCTGTGGTTCACCCCTGCTCAGTACCTGCTCTGTGGTTCACCCCTGCTCAGTACCTGCTCTGTGGTTCACCCCTGCTCTGTACCTGCTCTGTGGTTCACCCCTGCTCAGTACCTGCTCTGTGGTTCACCCCTGCTCAGTACCTGCTCTGTGGTTCACCCCTGCTCAGTACCTGCTCTGTGGTTCACCCCTGCTCAGTACCTGCTCTGTGGTTCACCCCTGCTCAGTACCTGCTCTGTGGTTCACCCCTGCTCTGTACCTGCTCTGTGGTTCACCCCTGCTCAGTACCTGCTCTGTGGTTCACCCCTGCTCAGTACCTGCTCTGTGGTTCACCCCTGCTCAGTACCTGCTCTGTGGTTCACCCCTGCTCAGTACCTGCTCTGTGGTTCACCCCTGCTCAGTACCTGCTCTGTGGTTCACCCCTGCTCAGTACCTGCTCTGTGGTTCACCCCTGCTCAGTACCTGCTCTGTGGTTCACCCCTGCTCAGTACCTGCTCTGTGGTTCACCCCTGCTCTGTACCTGCTCTGTGGTTCACCCCTGCTCAGTACCTGCTCTGTGGTTCACCCCTGCTCAGTACCTGCTCTGTGGTTCACCCCTGCTCAGTACCTGCTCTGTGGTTCACCCCTGCTCAGTACCTGCTCTGTGGTTCACCCCTGCTCAGTACCTGCTCTGTGGTTCACACCTGCTCAGTACCTGCTCTGTGGTTCACCCCTGCTCAGTACCTGCTCTGTGGTTCACCCCTGCTCAGTACCTGCTCTGTGGTTCACCCCTGCTCAGTACCTGCTCTGTGGTTCACCCCTGCTCAGTACCTGCTCTGTGGTTCACCCCTGCTCAGTACCTGCTCTGTGGTTCACCCCTGCTCAGTACCTGCTCTGTGGTTCACCCCTGCTCAGTACCTGCTCTGTGGTTCACCCCTGCTCAGTACCTGCTCTGTGGTTCACACCTGCTCAGTACCTGCTCTGTGGTTCACCCCTGCTCAGTACCTGCTCTGTGGTTCACCCCTGCTCAGTACCTGCTCTGTGGTTCACCCCTGCTCAGTACCTGCTCTGTGGTTCACCGACGGCCTCTCGCTCCGGTCCCTGATGTGAACATTAATCACAGATCACACGTCTTCCATCTGACCTTTACGTGGATGTGTGTTTGTCACGCTCACTCTGGCGCTAACATCAAAGGCCATGGCTAATACAGTATCTAGCTTTAATTGTGCATAAGGAATTAGCAAGTTTAAAGTGAGGAGATGCAGCAAAACTAGTGTCAAGTGTGTCTGATTAGTGTTTCTATTAAGAATAAAGTAACGTTTGGTTTTGTCTCTGTCTCTCTCTCTGGTCTCTCTCTGGTCTCTCTCTCTGGCCTCTCTCTGGCCTCTCTCTCTGGTCTCTCTCTGGTCTCTCTCTCTGGTCTCTCTCTGGTCTCTCTCTCTGGTCTCTCTCTGGTCTCTCTCTGGTCTCTCTCTGGTCTCTCTCTCTGGTCTCTCTCTCTGGTGTCTCTCTGGCCTCTCTCTCTGGCCTCTCTCTGGTCTCTCTCTCTGGTCTCTCTCTGGTCTCTCTCTGGTCTCTCTCTCTGGTCTCTCTCTCTGGTCTCTCTCTGGTCTCTCTCTGGTCTCTCTCTGGTCTCTCTCTCTGGTCTCTCTCTCTGGTGTCTCTCTGGCCTCTCTCTCTGGCCTCTCTCTGGTCTCTCTCTCTGGTCTCTCTCTCTGGTCTCTCTCTGGTCTCTCTCTGGTCTCTATCTAGTCTCTCTCTGGTCTCTCTCTCTGCTCCCTCTCTCTAGTCTCTCTTTCTCTGTTCTCTCTCTGGTCTCTCTCTGGTCTCTCTCTCTGGTCTCTCTCTCTGGTCTCTCTCTCTGGTCTCTCTCTCTGGTCTCTCTCTGGTCTCTCTCTGGTCTCTCTCTGGTCTCTCTCTGGTCTCTCTCTCTGGTCTCTCTCTAGTCTCTCTCTGGTCTCTCTCTGGTCTCTCTCTAGTCTCTCTCTGGTCTCTCTCTAGTCTCTCTCTGGTCTCTCTCTGGTCTCTCTCTGGTCTCTCTCTGGTCTCTCTCTGGTCTCTCTCTGGTCTCTCTCTGGTCTCTCTCTGGTCTCTCTCTGGTCTCTCTCTAGTTTCTCTCTGGTCTCTCTCTAGTCTCTCTCTCTGGTCTCTCTCTCTCTCAGAGCCACAGACTCAGACCCACAGACTCAGAGCCACAGACTCAGACCCACAGACTCAGAGCCACAGACTCAGAGCCACAGACTCAGACCCACAGACTCAGAGCCACAGACTCAGACCCACAGACTCAGACCCACAGACTCAGAGCCACAGACTCAGAGCCACAGACTCAGAGCCACAGACTCAGAGCCACAGACTCAGACCCACAGACTCAGACCCACAGACTCAGACCCACAGACTCAGACCCACAGACTCAGACCCACAGACTCAGACCCACAGACTCAGACCCACAGACTCAGACCCACAGACTCAGACCCACAGACTCAGACCCACAGACTCAGATCCACAGACTCAGAGCCACAGACTCAGACCCACAGACTCAGACCCACAGACTCAGACCCACAGACTCAGAGCCACAGACTCAGACCCACAGACTCAGAGCCACAGACTCAGAGCCACAGACTCAGACCCACAGACTCAGAGCCACAGACTCAGACCCACAGACTCAGAGCCACAGACTCAGAGCCACAGACTCAGAGCCACAGGCTCAGAGCCACAGACTCAGAGCCACAGACTCAGAGCCACAGACTCAGACCCACAGACTCAGACCCACAGACTCAGAGCCACAGACTCAGAGCCACAGACTCAGAGCCACAGACTCAGACCCACAGACTCAGACCCACAGACTCAGAGCCACAGACTCAGATCCACAGACTCAGAGCCACAGACTCAGAGCCACAGACTCAGAGCCACAGACTCAGAGCCACAGACTCAGAGCCACAGACTCAGACCTCCTCACTCCCTCAGGACCAAACACGAACCCTGGGGGGCCGAGCCTTTGCCACAGCCGTCCCCACTCTATGGAACTCACTCCAAAATGCACTGTATAAGTACAAAGTTTCATTATTATTATTATTATTAGACTGTGACTTTACTTCCCTGACCACAGACCTGCTCAGTACCTGCTCTGTGGTTCACACCTGCTCAGTACCTGCTCTGTGGTTCACCCCTGCTCAGTACCTGCTCTGTGGTTCACCCCTGCTCAGTACCTGCTCTGTGGTTCACCCCTGCTCAGTACCTGCTCTGTGGTTCACCGACGGCCTCTCGCTCCGGTCCCTGATGTGAACATTAATCACAGATCACACGTCTTCCATCTGACCTTTACGTGGATGTGTGTTTGTCACGCTCACTCTGGCGCTAACATCAAAGGCCATGGCTAATACAGTATCTAGCTTTAATTGTGCATAAGGAATTAGCAAGTTTAAAGTGAGGAGATGCAGCAAAACTAGTGTCAAGTGTGTCTGATTAGTGTTTCTATTAAGAATAAAGTAACGTTTGGTTTTGTCTCTGTCTCTCTCTCTGGTCTCTCTCTGGTCTCTCTCTCTGGCCTCTCTCTGGCCTCTCTCTCTGGTCTCTCTCTGGTCTCTCTCTCTGGT